TAAACACCAAATGTTCAAAGGGTGTTCAGAAGTTTGCAACCCATAAGTTATACCTTCTTTTCTCCTTCAATAACTCAAAAGGAATTGTAGGGAAATCCCTCTCATCCCACTAACTCAAGTTAGAGGGGTGAACATACCTTTCATTTTGAACATTAAAATGTTCAAAGAGATCTTTCCGCCTTGCAACTTCCAAGTTGCATTTTCTCATTTCTTCTCTACAAACCAAAAATTATAGGGAAATCCTCTCCTCCTACAATTCAAGAGTTGTAGAAAATTCCGGTTTTCACTCAACCAACATTGAGTGAACTAAATCTATCTATTTGTTGATGCTAAAGCCAACAAATATTCTCATCTTCCATTTCTTTCTTCCAACCCAAGTTGGATGGAGGGATTCCGTTATTTGGACACCCAAAAGTCCATACAACTCTTAATGACTTGTGACCAAAACAACAAATCAACCCTTTCTTTGAACATCAAAGTGTTCAAAGATTTTCATGAATTTGCAACTTATAAGTTGCATATGCCCCTAACTCTCGTCCAACTTTCAAATTGTAGGAGATTTTTCCCTCTTTAGCTCCAAAAGCTAGAGAGAGTTCTCCAACATTTAGCCCAAAAGCTAAATGTTGGATTCCCACTTTCTCTTCTTAGCTTCAAAAGCTAAGGAGAACCCTTCCAACACTTGGCCCAAAAGCTACGTGTTGGACTCTCTTTCTTCCCCTTCTTTAGCCTCAAAGCTAAAAGAAATGTTCATTTCCTTTTCTAGCTCCAAAAGCTAGGGGGAATTCCTCCAACATTGAGCTCAAAAGCTATATGTTGGACACTTCTTCCTTAGACCCAAATTTTAAGAGGACCCTTAATATGACATACCACACAAGCCTCACGCACTTAGATGCACAATCCCTTAAGCATACTAGGATTAAGATTTTTTCTTTGTGCGCGCATGTGATTGATTATTTGGTGTGAATGCCCTTTTGGATTGTCTGCGTTGTGGGCACTTGCTCTTAAGTGATTAGAATAGAAATATATATATGCTTTTTGTGCAGGTGCCATGTCCAAGAAAGGGGTAAAGTAAATCATGATTATCATAATGTTGTTTGCTTGCAGGCGCTGCTTAAAAACCCCCAAAAGGCATGGCCAATAGGGTAGAAGCAGGTGCTTAGCACTCTAAGTGCTAGGCCAATTTTGGGATGTTATATGTTTATTATATAAACTGTCTTCTGACTCTGTTTTACAAACTTGAGTCTTTTTTTTATTTTATATTATGTATTTGATTAGATCTAGAATGTAAAACTTGTGAGGTTTGGACTAGAAGGAAAAGGTGGATCGATAAAGGATATATTCCTTTGGAGGTGAAGCCCAAAGGTCCACTGAATAGTTAAAGCTTGAAGCCCCCACAAGTAGAATCTGTAAATTTAACTGAGTTGTATAATGGCAACCAACTCAGCTGCCAAAACTATTTGTAATAACTAGGACACTACTTGCACTTCTATTTTAATTTATATACAAGCATGTGTTGGTTGTTTACTGGGTGCGCATTAGAAAAGCATGAATTTTTTCTATGTTTCTTCTATTGCTTTGTTTGGGAGTGGCCTGGACTTGTGATACGATAGGCTCTTAGGATAAAATAAATTTTCTACCCCTTAAATTGTAAGAAACCTAAAATCAATCTAGGCTTTATGTTTTCTAACAAGAAAAATTGCATGTCTCCCTTCAAGGAGCCAAGTTTTTAAAAATTAAAATAAATATGCATAGCCCAAAAAAAGTGTCTCATGTAGAAAAGCCCTCACATAAGGACTAGATAACCAAAAGTCTGCATTTGTGAGTCTGCATTCTGCATACCCCACATAAATAGGCATCTTGGCCTCAAAGCCAAGCTATAAGCTCTACTTCCTAAATAAAAAAAAAAATTGCCCTCCACTCTACATTTGCATAAAGACCGGACGACATAGTTTTAAAATCGATTAGGTGGGTCTAGCTGGTAGTCCCTTCCAAGCGGGATAGTAAATCCAAAAGTCGGGCAGGCTATGTCTCATGTGAGGTGCAACTTATAAGTCCCTTTTGCATTCGTTAGACTTAGGTTCGAGGCACTACCTATCAGTAGTCTTCACCTTAGTTTTAGGGTCTGAGACAATAGTTGATTTCAAATCACTATATAGGCCCTCACCTTCAGGAAATTCCTTCAACATATGTTGTTAGAATATAAGCTCCAACTTTCTAATCAAAATGATTAACTTAAACAAAATTAGAATTCAAAAATGTAAAGCCCAACATAAGATAGTTTGAGCACCTCTGAGTTTCCCTCATAATCAAATGCTCATACTTCATCTCATTGGCCCTCATTTCAAATTATAATCTCAAGTTGATCATCTATTCCTTGAAATTCCTAAATGCCAAAAATCCTGTAAATAAGGCTTTCATGGATTTAAAAATCAAACTTTAGTTAATGTTTAAATGACTTCAAAAAAACAAGAAAATCATTAGTTTAATCAAGTGTTCTCAAGCACCCAAGCTTGAGATGTAATTAACCATAAGGGCTTGCCCCTATGGGACGTCTGCATCCTAGAAATAAATAAACCTCATTCGACCAAGCATCGAACGGGGGAATCTCTGTTCAAAATTGTAAATTTTTTCATTGAGTCCCTAAGAAAATGATATTTTTACCCTTCGGGGTAATATATCATCATTCTTATGCCGTGCTCAATCATAAAGTATGCAATTCGTTCGAGGATACAAAAATTCTCCAACATCAAGTTGGGTCGACTACCTCCTCTGACTAAGTAGACCAGGGAACACGATGGCCCGGGACGACGGAACCATGGGATCTTGATTGAGCCCATCATCTATTCCCCTACCATCCGCTTTAAGTGCAAGATGGTGAAATTTCAACTTTAAATATCAAACCCTCTAAATTCCCGACATCCAAAGCCCATTGCTGCTACTATATGCCAGATACTATGTATCTCTACGTATCTGATTGACGACTAGCCTTAATCGAAAGTTCTCTCTCGTTATTGGAAGGAGTAATTAACTATAGGGGCTTGCACCTATAGGAAACTAGAACTTAGATCATAAAGTCCTCGCAAAATGAGGACGAAATCTCTGGGTAGTGTCTTATCTACAAACACATCTGCCTTCCTAAAATTTACCCTGGAACCTATTCCGTTAAAACTCCCCCCGAAAAGAAATAGCAATATTCGGGCGGAGGCCGGGGCCGAATTTTCAGAGCCCACAAATCAAAAGTGCAAGGGAAAAGGAATGGCAAATGGAAGAAAGGATTATCAAGGAGAGAAAAACAACAAAAGACCTTTCTGCACACATTGATAACTCTAGGACAATACTAACACAAAGTGTTAGAAGTTCCATCTTGAATTGAGGTAAAAAGATGAAAAGACAACACAAACGCCAATGACATAAACAGCAAAAAAATGTGTAAACCAAGGGGAACCTCACACTACTTCGATGGATCCATATGAAGTCATATGGAAGACAACTACCAAGAAATTTAAAGGCTTAGATCACGAATAAAACAATTGGCTAAACCCTTATATCAAAATTAGCTAGCATTAGCCCCTTTTGGACCTATCCAACTGTTAGAAAACTAGTTTTATATGCAAAAATAGTCATTCGTACAACTTTACCAGCAGCATAGATAGCTTCAAAAGCAATTTAAAAGAGGAAATGGAAAAATTCAAACAACAGAAAATATGAAATTGGAATCAAAGAAGAGCGTTTTGGGTGAATTAAACAAGCATGATGACTATAGCCAATTCCATGCTCAACATACAAAGTCAGAAGAAACTAATTATGGAAGAATTGTCAAAGGATTAAAGTTGGAAACAACGTTCCTAAATTTGATATGGATACAAGCTATGATCACATGTTGATAGGTTAATGTGATTTGGTGGAAAAACACTTAAGGTTACAAAGTTTTTTGTATGTGTCTGTAGCCTCACTTGTAGCTCCTCAAGATGTAAGAGATACTAGAGCACTATTAAACAATAATAAATTATAATTTTACAATTTTTAAGTCCACTTCAATTTTAATAACCTTCTTTTAAAAAATTCTAATCAATTTATTTATAATACTAATTAATTATCAAATTTTTAAACCTCAAAATATTAGCTTCATATCAAGAAGAGCAATAGGCTAGATCACAAGAGGTTGCATGCAATAGTTTTTGTCATATACAATACCAGTTTGAGTAAAGGGGTGATGATCAAGCCTTTATACCACATATACCACTATGTGGGGTCGGAAGTTTGAGTAAAAGGAGCATAGAAAAAATAAAATTTTCATCCAATTTTGATAGATAGCACAAAATCTGATATTGATTGAATTGTTGGATAAAGATCTAGTGTTTTTGTAAGAACCCTCTTAGATGGAGGAAGAATAAATACTTTTTGTCATGTTGATGGAATTAGAAGTGTGCCCATTATGATTCTATATGAGAAAAGGATCAATGGTGGTCCCTCTTTGTGATAGTTCAAAATGGTCCCCAACTCTTTTGAAGGACCAATTTGTTCCCTCAACTCCATAAAATTGGTGACACCACCATCTCTCTTCGGAGGTCGTTTGACAGAACCCTCTTGATCGGAGGTTGTTTGACCATTAAGCGGCGTGTCGCGCTCGCCGACCGTTGCTCGAGTCACCAATTTCGCTCTTTTTTGCGCATTTCATTGTGTATGATCAAGTAACAAATAAAAATTAGGCGGATGATTCATAAGTTAATATCACATTGAAGCTAATTAATAAACAATAACATAGCAAAGATAACAAGGACATAAATTTAATAATTAAAATATATAGATTATCTACCCATTTCAAAGAAAAAGCATGCAAAAAGCCTTTTAGGAACCCCATCTCTTCCACGGATATAGCTTCTTCATGGGCAAACTAACATTCAGTGTACGCCAACAATTCTAATGAATATATTAAAAAAATTATAAAAAAAAAAAATTGCCACACAGGGTAATACGCATGTAGAAAAAAAGGGTTTAACCTGAAATTGGATAAGGCCATCTTCCTGATTACGAATCTGCAGGGACAGAGTGCCTTGTACATCAAAATTGGTGACGCCACCATCTCTTTTCGTAATAATATTAAGCTTTTCTTCAATGATCAATGTGATAGGATCTGTTGGTGGAAGGGATGATTTGGCTTGACCAACAGTAGGTGGCACATCATCAAGGATCACTTCCCCTTCAGCTTGTAGAGACTGCATGAGTTGGCTGGCACGTTGTGTTTTGCCTAGTTGCATACCAAGGCCCTTTGAGGTAGCAGTAGTAGGTGCTGCATGACGACCTGAAATGCCGTATCAATTTCAGAAGTCAACTACCATTAGGCCAATCAACAATGAACAATAAGTACCTTTTCTGTGTTGGAATTCACAGTAATCAACAAATACTATAACAAGGACATCAAGTACAGCTAGACAACTCTGCACAGTCAATTAAAAGAAATGTTTAAGAAAGTTTTTTTAAAAAAATTACTATTCCTTGAAATTTATATTTAATACATAATTTAATTTAAAAAAATGACTAAAATACCCCTATATTTAATACCATTAACCCAAAATTTAATGTTATGACCAAAAAGGTAATTTTTAAGAAGTTGAGGGACCAATTTGATCCTTTTCTCCATTCTGCATTAGGTTGAATCTCTCTACTCCACATAAGCCACATAATAAGTTGTAATTACATAATCTTAAAGGAAAATAATTGAAACATCAAGCCCCACACTTGTTTTCAAACTCCTTTATTTTTTAACTTTAAATCATAGCTAAGGACTAAAAAATAAATTCAGTTGGTATCCCTCATCAATTCTTTTATTTTAAAAATGTAGAAAAAGGTTAATTACTCACCCGGCTATTTCTAGGGGATCATTATAGTTCCATGCTATCTAATATGTATATCTAATTTAGTTCCTCAACCTCTCAAAATTTAATCCAAAATAATCCATTGATACCTAAAATCTAGTCCAAAATAATACAACAGAATGCTATTTTGGATCATATTTGAAGAGTCAAGAAATTAAATAGAATACCTTAGATAGCTAGGACAAAACTAGCCCCATACAATCACTCAATGGAGCATTTTGACCTTTTTCACTTTATAACATGTAGGCAACTAAATAAAAGTAAAGAAAGTTGTGAATAGATTGGAGGATGAGACTGACTTAAATGAGGTAGAAATTAATCTTGAAAATGAATTTGCGACATGACAACCTATAACTACATTTCATTTAGATTCCTTCATAGGGGGAGAAGCATGTAAGGAGCTTGAGGAATGATGAATGAGGAATTGAGTGCATAATTAGTTGCCTTGTTTCATTTTCATGTTTTACTTTGGTTGACACTTTGACTTCATATGTTTGTATTTTAGATTTTAAAGTTAGCATATTAATGAAATGGTTATAGATTTAAGAATTTGGAATTTATTCCAATCATTTTTTTGATATTATATTTTTTAAACATATTTTTACAAATATTAAAATATAAAATTCAGGAGGTCCAAATCATGACGGGTAAAATACTTGCTCTTAAACCTTTAAAAAAATTGTCAAAAGGATGCCAACAGCAATGATTGGCTCTTAAGACCAGTGGCTTGGGCATAAATTGGGTTCATAGGGTTCAAAGCACACAAACAGGGTACATTCTTATTTATTACAAGTTTTAAGAGTTTGAATTAATCTTTCCATCCATTTAAAAGGTGGTTGCTTATGTTCTTAGAATTTTTTAGCCTTTTGAGTTTAAAAGGAGGTTTCTCCTAAATGATGCTAATATTTTTAAATATCATCTTGTATTATAAATAGTTTTAGAATAAAGAAACCATTGCATTTTTCAAAAATAGTCCTCACCACTCATCTCCCAATCCAACCATATTGGCATTCCACCCCTCCCTCTTCCCCCTCTCATTTTCTCTCATGGCCAAGAGTCATCATGTTCAGAAGTAGACCCAAGCAAACAAATTCTATTACACGAATCATTGGCCCAAATGAGTCATAACAGTGAAATTGGGAAAACAACCCACATTCAATTGGAGAGTAATTACACCAACCTTGAAAAATAAAAGTGGGAAAATCCCAACCTAACTTGTTGATCTATCCTTTACAAACCAATATCTAGGACCCTTGGATCAAAAAATTAATTTTTGGTTACTTGGCCCTTGTGTTTTGGAACAAAATGAGATAAATTTTAACTGACAAGATGATTCAACATTTCTTGAGCAAAAGCAATCGAATAAATAAAAAATCTCATATCATTCCAAAGACACCAAGAATGCAATAACGCACGTAGATACTTTCTTATATTCATTTCCCTGAGGCTAGTCAACAAGAAGTTAAATCAATTTCAGTGCTTCGTTTCTATAACATTTTTAAACAAAAGTCTGAATTTATAAATGATAATTGAATACAAAATATAATCCATGTAAATTCCATCATGTCAATATGCACATGCAGTTTAAAAAGAATGATTCATTAAAAATAAGGATAACAAAATAAAAACTTGTTACTGAAATATAAGGAGATCAACATAAATTTTAATAATGAACAATACAATAACTAAAATACTATGGATTTATGAGTTACTATTTCAAGGAAAAATAAAAACACAGTAAGTAACCCAACAGGACATATCCAAACTCTTCAAATGTGAAGGAACATTCAAACCTTTAAACTTGCTAGAATAGGAATCCGAATCTACTGTGCTAACTTCAAGTCCAGAACCACTTCCAAAGCCAGCACCACTACTAGATAGAGTCAAATCACTGAAATTTTTTGAACCAGACAGAGACATAAAGCCTCCTTTATCACCTTTGCTTTTATCAAGCTGCAAAATAAGGTGAGCAAGATACTTTCATGAAAAAAAACAAAAATATTTAAGAATCAGAAATTTCTAGCCTAAAAACTATACACTTAAAAAAAGACAATGATTAGCTGAATCCCTTGAAGTAGAAGCAAAGAAGGTTAAATAGTCACAATGTGATATAAAGCTCTGCTATCATGGATCATACCCTTAAAATATGACATATACGCATCTTAAACATAGCTAATTTAGAAACCTAAACTTCCAAGACGTATTTCAAATGAACATGTGTAGCAAATTAGGGACAAGAAATAAGAACAGAATTGATATATTAAAACATTTTTTCAGCCAAACAAGAAACCAACATGAGCAGTTGCAGCAGCAGCTGTCAGGAAATGCAGTCAGAACAAGATGTCAGACATCCCAAATGGTGTGTCCACTCTTAGAAAACTTTGATTAATATCTTTAATCATAGACAAAAACTGCTGCAATTAGGACTAGGCACATACATAAGACTTGGCCATGGCACTAAAACCTAATACATTTCATAACAATTTTTCTTTCTAAAGATCAATTTTCCTCTTAATTGCACTCAGTACCTCAAATAGAAGGACTATATGTTTGATTCAAACTTTGAAACTGAAGATATGTAATTTAGGCATCATAACACATTCCATTCCATAAATTTTGAACTCGTATGGATTCCAATGATAGCTTAAACAAGCCAAATAAAGGATTCAGTTCATAAATAAATGGATAGAGCAGGCTTCACAAGCAGCAGAAAATTAAACTCGGATTAAAAAAGTTACCTTGTTTTTATCAATCTCACTGGCTTTTCGCTTCATGACATCCTTAGTTTCATTAATCTTACTTTGCATTACCAGCTTGTGCAGTCTCTCTTCATGACTCTCCATCTCACAATACTGCTTTACTTGTGCAACTGTCACATTTTCCTTGTAACCAAGAGAAATAGTTTCATCAAAAGCAAATAACAGCTCGAAAGCTGCCTTGCAAACTCCCTCTTCATCTAAAGAAGGCGAATATTCAGGAATCTTCAGTTGGATTAAGGAATATAAAAAGTAAATCTCCAATTGTTATGTGATACTAGTACAGGTGATAATTTATTGTGCAAATATGAAACAAACTATGGATTTCTTTTTAGAAAATGGTTAAATTAATGAATTTATGCACAAAAAACTGGTAAATCTCTAGGCCTGCAAAGTCTTGAATGCTACAAAAGGATACAAGTTTAGCCAGCAAAGTTAAAGCTCCAAGATCTTCAACAATATTACTCTGCTTGTTAGTAATAAGAAGCAGATAGAGAGCTTCTATGGGTTGATACACATATCGAACATTCTCAGTCTCTACAAATGTGTGTTGCTTTCCTCCTGATCCAACCAACTTTGGGAATGCTGCAAGTAGTCCTTCAATTCTAATTCGTGACATGTCTACAAACTGCCTTGAGACAAGTGCTGCAAAAAAAAGGGAATGTAAGATAGGGAAAGCAGAAATAACTATTGGATAATACTAGAGAAGGCATATAAAATGCCTAAGGCTAGAGATAGAAGATCTAAAAACTTCAATCAAATTAGATGTATTAAAAAAGAAGATAATAAGATCTTAGGTAAGAAAAAAACAAGACAAGATGAAAATACTATTTCGAGAAATTATTAAATGAAAGTGTAAAGGAACATTCTTTTTCAAATGAGATAATAAAAAGAATAATGAAAGATGCTATATGTTGATAAAAACTAAAGAAAGGCTTTAAGTCCAATTAAGGGTAACATTTAAGATTTTAGGAATTAAGGAAGATATTATAATAGTTTGTAAACAAATATTGTAATAGAATCTCGAAGACAGAAAAGGTACCAAATGATTTAAGAAGATTGGTATAATATTTCAATGTAAGAGAGATTTTCTAGACTTTAAGAATAAATCAAATTTGTTTGTGATGAAATGTATTCATGACATATGGTAACAAAATATAGCTTTAGAAAATGCACATGGATTTAAGAAAATTAACTCAAGTAGGCGTCAAGAAGATCTACACGGAGGCATTTAAAAATTAAAGAAAAAGTATGCAGCAGCAGCAACAACAACAACAACAACAACATCATCAAGCCTTTGTCCCACTTCGTGGGGTTGGCTACAAGAATCATTTTTCAACATTATGTCCTATTAAAAATCAAATTCTCATTTAAATCTAATAAAGAAATGTCATTTCTAATATTTTCTAACCAAGACTTTTTAGATCTACCTCTACCTTTCTTAATATAAGTCAAATATGAGTTGATGGTTCCATTAGGTAGTCAACAGCCAGCGTAAAACTTGTCGAATAATCATGACATGAATCCTTTAAAGAAACAGCATGGTCAACAAAAAAAAGTTTCTATGATTTTCATTGATCCATTGAGGACATATGATCAAGTATCGTGATAATTGATTTAAAGTACAATAAAAAAGTGTAAAAAGTGCATTGATGTTGTTTTAAAAAAAAATGATTTGATTATGCATTGGAGAGAGTAGGTAAAGCATCATCTTTTAATTTTTACTGATCATTAGGAAGGCTTATGATCCAATATCAGGAGAGTTGATATGACTTAGCAGCATTGACTAGCATTAACAAAAGAGTGCCTAAAGAATAATATAGATGTGAAAATATGAATGAGACTAAAAGGCAAATTTTATAAAACTACAACTAGATTGATTATGCTATATTGGTTTGAGTATCAAGCAATAATAAAGTCTCTTTTAAGCAAGTTGAGTGTGTAGAAAAAGAGAATATTACCATAAATATGTGATACAATTAAGAATGATAGATCGAGCTATGATTAAATAAAGAGGCGATAGGAGTATTACATTTAAAATATAAAATAATGAAAAAATTGGGTTGAGTAGGCTTATACAACAAAGGGCAAGAAATGCACCAATAAGACAAATAGTTAAAATTAACATGAAAAGATTATGATAAAAAAATGGGTAGGTCAAAGAAAACATGGCTACTATTTGTGCAAAAAGATTTCTCCAAAATAGAGATATAACACCATGCAACAACCAAAAAGAAAAAAAAAATGTAGAGCAAGCATTCAAAATGTAGATCCCAAGTAATTAGGATAAGATTAATAGTGATAATGCCACAAAAAAAGCTCCTGCATGATATTCAAATCAGCATAAATGCCTCTCACTCTCTTACACAAAAGCATGCTTGCACGCCTATTATAACTATTTTTCACAGAAAGAAAAAGCATTAATATGTAAATCACAGTCATATTGCTATTCATAAGAATTAAAACAGAAGTTACAGCACCTATGATCTGTCCTATGCAATTATGTAAAAAGGATTAGGCAGAAAAAATATGACGGTTTAAGGAATTTAAATAAAATTACAGTAAATAAAATGAAAGTATAGCAGATATCAACTAAACAGTGAACTTGCCCGTTCCAGATTTGCTTATGATGGATGCTGCAAGAACCACCTGTTAACATAAAACACAATCAGCGCAGAAACTAAATTTCTCAGTTATTTTGATATTAGTTTCTACAACTTACGCGTTTATGATAGAATATAATCTTATTGCAAAAAATTAAAAGGCTGTCAAAGTTAGGATTTAGCGTTTCGAAATATGCCAGATCTACTTTTTTGTTGAATGAAAATAAAACATTAAAAAGTAAAAATATATTGAACAAAGAGAAGAGCATGATGCTACCATTTTTAACTAATGAGAGAAGCGACTATTGACGGTACAGCTGGAGGTAGATTGTCTTAATTTCTGGCGCTAAAGCATTATCAACAAAATAACCACCTAAAAAAGCAAAATGACGCACGTTTCAGCAGAGAAAGCAGTTTGTTCTATCAAGCAGCAAAAAACTAGAAACCAGACCACTAAAAAAAGATAAATCGAAGTCCAAAAAAGACATGCCCCCCATGAATAAACATCAGATCGAAATTGCCAGAAATAGCATATATGCAGTAGGAATGGTCGAAATTCCAATCAAAAGCATCATAATAGAACAGATTAAATCACGCAGCCAAAAGAAAAAAAAAATCAAATGAAGTCCAAACCAATTCTTCCCAAATAAACATGTAGCAGCGTCCGATATATTTTAACATTCTGTAATCAAATTTTCCATAAAAAAAAGTCGCAGATCTGCGCGGTTAGTGACAGCCGATATCCCTCATTTGTGAAGTATGTAACTCGATCGATCTTATAAGAGGAAGATGGGATACCTGTCGCCTGCCAGATCTCGCATCGGTAAAACTTGCCTGGGATAAACAGTTTGCGCACGATCCTATGCGTCGATGACAGCCAAAGGAAACCCGAAAGTGAATCATCTAATGGAGAAATTATTGCGTGTGGAATCCGATCACAATTCGATGTGTTCGGTTGCTGACGTGGAAAGGGTTACAGTCAATTGACTTGTGTAAACCTCGTAAACCCGACCCGTCTTTCAGCCTGACCCGGGAGATTTAGGTTGGCGCTTCTTTTTTCAGAATTTAAGGCGCGCGCGAATCATCGCAATATATAAAGCTTAGAGCCAAAATTTTCGCAGA